TATTGTATTGTATTGTATTGTATTGTATTGTATTGTATTGTATTGTAAGTGGGATCCACACCCAATGTGGGGCTTGAACTCATGATTCTAAGATCAGAGTCATATGCTCTACTGACTGAGCCAGCCAGACACCCCTACAATATCATCAGATATCTAAATGAGAAAATAAAGCTGGTTTCTAGGTAAACACAAAAATATCTTGATATTTAATAATTATTTACGTAAAGAGCTGGAATAGGACAAGATAAGACAACTTTAAGTAACTCACTTCTAGAGTGAGGATGAGCAGAACTACCCTGCTTACATCATAGGTTTGTTTGTGAAAGCACTTCAAAAATGTTGGGGTGCCTGAGTGACTCAGTCTGTTAAGCATCTGACTTTGGCTCAGGTCATGATCTCATAGCTTTTGCCTTCGAGCCCTGTGTGGGTCTCTGTGCTGACAGCTCAAAGCCTTGATCCTGCTTCAGCTTGTGTCTCCCTCTCTCTCTCTCTCTCTGCCCCTGTCCCACTTGCACTCTGTCTCTCTCAAAAATAAATAAACATTTAAAAAAATGTAGAATACAATGCAAATTTAAGGTAATCATTTTCTGCTGATGTATAATTATTATACCTAGAATGTTCTTTGGGAGAAGAATCATCAACAAAATTAGGCTTTGCTCCCTCTCTTTAATGCTGGTATTGACCTGTTTGTCTTGCCTTCTCTTTCCCATCATGTCCCACACAATAGAAGTATCTAACTCAGTTCTTTTGGAGAAACTTGCTGGGCCAAGAACCAAATCCCATTACATAGGAACTAGTCCTGGAGAGTTGAGTACAGATTATCTTTTAAAATTTGGCTGCAGATGGGATGCACTTTGAGGCAAATCTTTCTTCATTGTTATGGTTTCCATCCCCTATGACAGTGATCACCTCCAACTTAATTTTATTTCTAATCTATTTTTGGTGTGAGTGACATTAGTAATTTAATAAGTTAGTATATGTTGCATTATTAAAATAAGGACATGAAATATAGGGAAATATGTCAGTAGCAATACAGAAATAGTCTGTGCACCATTGTCTCTTAATTCCTCTTTCCATTTGAAAGAGGAAAAACAGCAGATAAAAACAAATACAGACAAATGTGTACATTAGAAGAGACTGTTGAGCTAAAGAGACAGAGCAAAGCTAATACACAGAGGAAACAGTGGGAATCTGTTTAATTAGGGACATTGCTTAAAGGGCAGGGGTTAAAGGAAGGAAATGGTTTTTAGATAAGAGGCCAAGGGTGAGTAAACCATTCTCTTATTATTGTTTTAATTGAATTGGTAATGGCAGAAAGGTAGGAAAGAAAGTAAAGATTTAGTCTGAGGGGGAGAAAAGAGATTGGCTTCTGTGAAACATACTTTTGTATGTTTTCATATACAGAAGAGGATAAACGTGTAGGAAAGTACTACAATAAAGTTAAATTTTGGGCTTTGTCAAACTTTGGGCTTTGTCAAACTTTGACAGAGAGCAAAGAAATTGTGTAAAAGTAAACTCTGTGACCTGAGGGAAGGCTAATTAAAGGCAAGCGAGAAGGCTTCAGGCATAGGATCAGGAAAAGGTTTGGTGGCAGTCACAAAAATGAGGTTTTATATCACCCTCGAGATTTCACCATTTGCGGTGAACTTAGCTTGTACACAAGACATAAAAAATGAGTAAATGTTAATCCATTTTAAATAAGAAAAATAAGAAAAAAATAGAACATTTTCATCCTCTACAGCCTCTTCATATTTGTGTCAATTTTCTTTAAGTGATGAAGGGTTGAAAAAGATAGCTCCCCCAATTACATGGACATAACATGCTTGCTAGATTGGGAGAGGAGCAGGTGCCCCAAAGAGGCTTGGGATCTCAAGATCTAGTTTTAGTTCAAGAGCTTGGTGGGAAGACTCTGCTGGGGCCCTCCCAGAGGATGTAGTGCATTGTGACTCCAGATGAAGGTGTATATAGCACGCAGCCTGAGCTTGTCAAGGTGACTCTGGTTATACATGAGCTCTACAAACTCTCTGCTGACTGCAGGTAAATAGTCATACAAACGTTTGTGTCCACCAAAAATGTATCTGTTGAGTATAAACTCTTAAATTTTTAAAGACTATTGTGTCTGTACTTGGGTTGTCCCATTTAAGCCAAAGCTTAATTCCCTAGCAGTTTTAAGAGCTCTTTGTCAACTATGAAGCACATAGACCTTCTAGAAAATATCTCCATGGTGCTTGATTCTTTTATATCTCTTAAGAGAGGAAAAAAGATACCTTTTTTCCATTTTTTTTGTCTTATTATGGGCAATGACACAATGCAACAAGCAATGCCTTTGTCATATCTCGATGTCAATGAAGGAAACTACTGTAATTATTCTGGGGTTAGCAGTATCATTTGTCTTGTATTTTCAGGTTAGCAAGCTGAGTTCATTACCTCTATTACATATAAGGAATTAACTGTTGAAAAATTTAGCTGTCACTTTAGTTCGTTAAAGCCCTTTCACAATGAAACCTGATTTATGTGCTGCACTATTTCTTCAAAAGTAAGTTGGAAAAACTATCTCTATGAATTCCAAAACCCAGTCTCGAGTAAAAACTCATTCAATTTTTGGTGTCTGTGAATTGCGGTTCTGAGTCCATTCTTTTGAATATGTGCCTTTGTAAGCATACTGTAATAGAAACATGAAATAGAGCCTGTATTCTAAATTACAGGTATATGGAACAGGAGCTTTAACACATTATTATGAGTTCCGGTAGCATTAGCCATATTCTATAAGTGGGAATGGAGACAAACTTCCAGAATTTGGACAGTGTCCAACTGTTTGTTTCATAGTCCATTATTGTAAGATTCTGTAATGTCTATAATTTTGCCTCCTACAAAGGAAGTCTAATGTGTATATATTTCAGATCTCCTGGAATGGTCTTGAATTTAAATATTTTGTTTGTTGTCAAATCCTGTGTCAGACAGGATATCTTAATTTTTGTTTAAAAATATGTTTGTTATAGCTGTAGGTATAGACATTCTCAATATCCTACAAAAGGATTATGGATTTTATGTGCACCTAAGAGTTATTATTAAGGAGAGACTAAGAATTTGTGGCAGATTCTTTATTTAGACTTTGTAGAATTCATGTCATCATTACCAATGTGAAAGTAATTGAACCATAATTTTTGAGAAAGAAAACTGGGTAGATGTTTTGTTTCTTTCCAACTGATTGATTCTAGTATCTTTAACAAGTATGAGTAAAAATCCGTTGATAAAATAATAACATTTCTTAACACCATTACTGTAATGTTCACTTTTTGGGAATGGTAATATAGATTAATTCATGTTCTCTTTTTCTTCGCTTGTATGTTTTTTTAAATATAATTCAAGATGTGCATCTAATTACTGCTAATAGTGCAATCTACCAGGCCAAACACTTGCCACTGACTGTCAAGTGTCTTTTTGATGCAGTTGAAGAGAGAGAGAGAGAGAGAGAGAGAGAGAGAGAGAGAGAGAGAGAGAAAGGAGAAAGAAAGAGCAATGTCCTTTGAGCAAGACTTTCTGCAGCTGTTGTGTACATTAATCCAGGGAGCAGATCTCCCAACACTAAATATAGCAAGCATATCCTTTTACATGATAAAAAAATTTTTAAATGAAAGTCTTTAACTATAGAGTCATATTATTTTAGATTTGAGTTCCTTTAAAAAGGAAATAGGCATTGCACACATATTCTGTATACAAATACCATTATTTTAATAAGTGAATATGTGGAAATGCCAGTGATGTATGTAACATGCCACAACTTCCTCTGTTGAGATATTTTCCCTTAGGACCCAAGCAGGTTGTGATCTCCGTGAATTTCATCAATCCCCTCCAAAATCTTTACATGTAGAAAACTTTACTTTTCACAAAATTTTGTGTCCCATCATACATCATTAGGAAGCCGTCCTAGGTTTCACTCTAAACAACAGTAATTAGGTCTCTGAAATGTCCCTTTTCCCATTGTCAGTGCCTGTTTTCAAAACACACTTGAGAACTTAAATCTGGATATTACCTTTCTTTTTTTTAGTTGACCCAGATGAGGATGTCCAACCCAGGCAATCCACCGTGATGATAATTATCCAAGGAGAACTTTTAGATGAAAGCACAGGAGAAAAAGAAAATTCTTCACGCCCTTGGAAATCGAGAGTAGCCGTCCATAGAGAGTGAGGAGTTAACCTTAGTTTCAGTGAAGATGGCTGTAAGAAGCTGGACAACCTGTCACCACCGGAGCCAGAGCATTTGTCAGCTCACAGGTCCCAAGTTATTTTGAGCTGTATAAACCATGTGCCTGTGAAACATTCCACCTGATTGGACAGGAGAAAACTGAGCAAAGGGATTCCATAGCAGGACAGCACCTATGCGTGGTAGGGGTCAATCAGTTTTTCTACCTACAGAATTTCACTTTTAGCTAGAGGCCCAAGTTGTTTATTGATTTATGTTTGGAATTAATGCTAAATTCCTGACACCAGTTCCACCTGTCGAAGAAATTGGCATTATTTTTGAAATACACCGAAATTCTTAATTTTTAGGAACTTTAATTTTAATGGGAAATTTATTGTCATTTAACCACTGATACATTTTAGGAAATTAGGCTATGAAAAGCCAATATAAAGCTGAGGCCTAACATCTTAAGGTGGAGAGTTTTTGAACTGTTTGTCCAAAAGCTAAGCAAAAGCAGAGAACATAACGAACATTAAAAGTTGTTAGAGATCATCATCAAAAAAAAAAAAAAAAAAAAAAAAAGAAGTGGAAAGAAACATCTGCCTGAGAATAAACCCAGTAACAAATTAGTTTGAACAAACTTCATCAGAAAAACTAATCAGATACTGTTTAAAAGTCAAAACTACTATGTAATGTAATAGATTACAATTCCTATTCTTGTATTAGTATCTAGAATAACATTTTGTATATTATTTAGAAAAAGTCTATGCCATATGTCTTTTTTCACAAGCATTGCCAATCAATAAAAATAATGCTTAACCAAACCAACATGTGCTCAAAACCTACTTTGTCAAAGTATAGTTTTTTTGATATTAATTTCATACATTTTCAGAATAGAAATTTGAGGAAAAAGAAGTTAACCCCATTGCTTACTACAGATTAAGTATGCTATAACATCATTAATCTTGGCAGCAGCCTGGGTTTTGAAAATTCAGATGTCATTGGTTATTTTTTAAAAGGATCATCCTTAGATTTGGCTAGCCTAAAATACATTGGCTTACAGCTAGCTTCTTAATTAAATCACCCAGCGGTTTATAGGAATTCTTCCCATTCATTTATTCAAAAAAATTTACCTAATGCCTATTATGTATCAGGTGCTGGGTATGTGCACAAAATAAACTGAAATTTTTGACCTTATGGAATTTACTATGAGATCTCTTTACTCTTTTCAGTCATCTTGAGAATCCCTATTGTATACTGACTAAATGTAAAATTTCTTTGTTTATTGTGAAACATCACAGGTTTCACTACTTTTTTATGGAGCTTTGTATTTACACAGGCAAAGTGAAAAAAAATTCAGGACAACTTTTCAGTAATACAAGTTGAAAGTACTATTACTGGGGAGGGAAAATGGTACCAAAAGAACTGGATTTTGTGGATAGGTTGTTTTTATTACCATAGTAATCCAGTTCTCTAATGACAGATTCCTTTGTTCTCTTACCTAATCCTGTGCTGATACCAACCTCAAGGCCACTTAACTGTGTTTCTGCGTATATTTCTATTTATATGGCTCCAACAGTATCTTTTTATTTAAAGATAAGATCTTCACCCTCTATCCCACTCAGATCTTGAGGCCTAATCAATATAACTGCTGCTAGGTCTTCGTTAGGGATGGAGGAAAGTGGCACCTCTATTTCAGATAATACATAAATGTGCTACGATTTGATTTTCTAAAAGGAAATGCATGCACACACTGTAAGTAAACACATTTCTACTTCCGTACAAACTATGCCATGAGAAGATAGTCTACACAATATTCTGACTTCTTTGAAAAAAAAAACTGGATGTAAATATTTAAAATAAATATTACTTGGCAACTGTGGACATTTTGCTTACAATACATCAAACTTGTATTCTAGATTCTAGTTTTTTAAAATTAGTTTTTCTCCCAAGTAACACAGCCTCTAACCTGGGTATCATCATAGTACTTATATAAACATTGTACCACAAACCTACTCAGATTTTACCAGAGTTTACTGATACAAAGAATAATTTTTAAAACTTAAAAAAAAACATTCCAACAGAGTTAAAAAGAAATTTCATAAGTGACAAGTAAACACGAGGTTACATGCCCTAAGCCTTCCTCAGAAAGTTGAGTGGCCTGTCCAACACATGTGTTTATTGTGGTTTGAACATGATCCGGTGCTTGCCTTCAGCTGTTTTCTTAATTCAGTCACTCAGCTACAGAAACAATTTACTCACATTGGGATGATCCACAGCAATACCAAGGAATCTGGGAGATCTATGACAGAGGAAGTCTTCACTTGGAGGATAAGCATCCGAAAATGTCCGTGCTAGTAGATTTGTGTGAAATTTTATATTTCTTATTTTCCCATATTGCTATGGATTTTAATACTTTAGAAGAAATTGCTCACATATACCAAACTTTCAATAAGTTTTGTTTAACGTTAATATATTTACATTGACTTACCTCCCTCTCATATCAGACAAAAAGAAAAAAACCCTCTATATCTTATTTTTAAAGGACAGAGACATGTATGTATCTCCTAACCTTTGTTAATGAGAATAATATGCCAAAGACAAGTTCTTGTCCATCCAAAAAGATGCATGTATGCTGGATTATAGAGAGTCTTATACAAACCCCCTGATACAATGTAATTGAGAAATACAGTTAAATCCTTGCAAAACTTCTTTTTCGTCTAAACGGTATTGAAAATGCTGGCCCAAAACTAAAATCAAAAACATTAAAAAAAAGCTGTAAGCTGAAAATCTTTTTAGTTTTTAAAACTAAAAACATTTTTTAAAACTATAAACAGAACACCTATTTTAAAATGTTACCCTGAAAAGTAAATCTGTGTTTACCTGGAGGAGAAGCGCCATTCCGATATCAATCAACCAGGATCATCCAAAGTCCAAATCTCACTGCCTAACTGTGTCAGCCACAGAAGTATCATGAAGGAAATGTGATACCACCCTAACAGAGTAATGAAGGGTATTTACAGGGTTCCGTGGCAGATCCAGGGGACAGTCGTTTAGAACAGATTGCTCTTTGAGATCAACTTTAATAACTCAGTCTGCACGATGTTCTTATCCTGGAGGGATGGTGGGGGTGGATAATGACTAAGATGACTAAGGAAATAGACTTTCTTGATCTTTCATTAGATTAGATGAAAAGGATAGTAATGATGGAATTTTAAAGAATGAAGCATAAGAATGGACAAAATATCCATACACAGGATGCATATGACATGTGTAAATACCCTTTTTTGATATAAAACTAAGGATATGGTTAATACATTTATTAAAGTAAATATGGGAAAAGAATTATTATAATACTTAATGTATGTGCCTCCAATTTTAGAGTAATTAGATTATAGCTTTACTTTGTGGTTTCCACGAAAACACAATAGGACTTCCTTGTGCTTTTGATACAGAGAACACATCAACGTCTACACTTTAAACAAAAAAAATTTTTTTAATGTTTATTGATTTTTGAGAGAGCAAGAGACAGAGTGTGAGCAGGGGTGGGGCAGAAAGAGAGAAGGAGACACAGAATTTGGAGCAGGCTCCAGGCTCTGAGTTGTTAGCAGAGAGCCCGAGGCAAGGCTCGAACCCACAAACCATGAGATAATGATCTGTGCTGAAATCAGACGCTTAACTGACTGAGCCACCCAGGCGCCCCCTCAACGTTTACACTTTTTAGAAAAAATTTATTTTTCCAATAAGAAAATTTGAATCCCAGGGCGCCTGGGTGGCTCCGTCGGTTAAACATCCAGCTCTTAGTTTCAGCTCAATACTTGATCTCACAGGTTTGTGGATTTGAGCCTGACTGACAGTGCAGAACCTGCTTGGAATTCTCTCTCTCTCCCTCTCTCTGCTCTTCTTCCATGCACGCATGTGCATTCTTTCTCTCTCTCAGAATAAACTTAAAAAAAAAAATCTGCTTCCCAGAATTTTTTTTTTAAATTTTTTTTTCCAGCGTTTATTTATTTTTGGGACAGAGAGAGACAGAGCATGAACGGGGGAGGGGCAGAGAGAGAGGGAGACACAGAATCGGAAACAGGCTCTAGGCTCTGAGCCATCAGCCCAGAGCCCGACGCGGGGCTCGAACTCACGGACCGCGAGATCGTGACCTGGCTGAAGTCGGATGCTTGACCGACTGCGCCACCCAGGCGCCCCTGCTTCCCAGAATTTTTAAAAAGAGCATCTGTGATTAACACTAAGTTACTGAAGAAATTTAAAAAAATTAGTATCATGTATGTAATCCCGAGTATACAGTTGATTCCCACTTCTTACCACATTAATATGATTATAATAGCACGCATATAAACATATCATCTCAGTAGAAATAAGTTAACATTTCTTAGCTCTGTGCTGGTTACTAGGCTAACCTCTTTATGGACATTGTGCTTTATTTCATGTATTCCTCCAACAGTCAATGAAGTAGATACTGTTATAATTCTCAATTTACAGATCAGAACCTGAAGCTTAGAGGTTAAAAATTTGCCCAATGTCACACAAATGAGTAACTGAGCCAGGATTAAACATAAGGCCAACTATAAGTCTATGTTCATAGCCACTGCAAATATTTAAATACATTTCTAGTGTACTTGTGAAAAAAATTAGGGATAAAAATGAACAAACAACATACTCTCTTTTAGTCAGCATTTTAGAAGAATGCTATATAGAATTTTAAGTTTATAATTTTTCTGACTGAAACAACCTCTGAAGTTTTTTTGTATGACTAAATAAGTGAACAAAAAGAGGAGAAAATATAGAAGGAAAAAGGCAAATGCTCTCAGACAGACTCTATCTGCGATATTTTAGCTGAGAACATGAATTGTTATAAAGAATGAAGCATTGGGTATTAATGCTGACAGGTAGGGCATTGGAAGACAGTCTGAATGCTTTGACAGACTTATTATTTTTTTGTTTCTGTTTATGATAGTCATCTTGCTGAGACCATTTAAAAGCTTTGCTCTTCTGAAAGTAAATTTAAGTGCTCTGGTGTTACTTCTCAGCACAGTGATATGGGTCAATAAATATTTTGCAAGTTAGGGATGGGAAACAACAGTTGAAATATTCTCTCTTAATAACATTAGCACTGAATATC